GCCACTGCCACTGCCAGTGCCACTGCCACTGCCGCCGCACGACGACGACGACGATGACGACAAGAGCGGCATCTAGCATGGGTAACGGCCACAGCAGCTGGCACAAGCAGCGCAGCAGACACCTTGCAGTCCTCGGCTCCGCGAGGTGGGGCAGAGTCCACGCGGGTCCTTGGGGCTACTGACCGCCCGCACGCAGTGAAAAACCAAAGACACTCGCAAAAGAAAGCTCTGGGCCTCATCCGTCCAGGGCTGGTTGCAGGGCGGCCTTGGCTTGGGTGGTATTGTGCTTGACGCCCTGTTTGTCACCATCCCATCGCCAAGCTCCTCGCTGTCAGCCTGCGACCTGGGTAACTGCCTCACTTTGAAAGCACTGGCATGCCCGCATGCGCAAGACAGAATCTAGTCTTTGAATTGCAAAAGCCCAGGCAGCGCGCCGAGATCCCTCCTGGTCTCGCTCCTGAAGCTCCTCATCCGAGAGCCTTTGAATCGCGCAATAGTCATGCCCGTCAGCGCAGCATGCACTGAGACCTGGACCCCTCTACTTCCAGAGAATTGCTTGATGCACCCTTCCACCACAAGCCCCTTAGTGAGCCGAGCACGGATTTTTGTTGTACTTTGAGCCTTCTTGAGGCAATGGCCCTTCAGCACATCGCCAGTGAGTATCCGGGGGAGGGCCTTCCTGGACCGCGGCCTTCCAAGTTCAAATCTGAAAGCTGCGCGTTGTACTTCTTGAGTCTGTGCGAGATTGTGCGAGCCCAAGCCGAGGACCTTCCTTGATCGTGCTTTCCGTCTGCCTCATGAAAGCACGAGCGCTTAAAGAGCAGACCAGCATGCTGGCAATGCTGAGGCCCTTACTGCATGAGCAGCTCCTGGCAGGACACTTGGGAGAAGCACGGCATCACAGATCTAGTATCTAGCCAACATCGTCGGATCTGGTTACATCTTTGGTCGGATTTCCTTGCTACAGGGCCATGCCAATACGTGGCCAAAATTTAAGTTGATGACATGTACGCCAAGTAGAGATCTGCATCGAGACGCTTAAAAGCCGCAGCTAATCCAGACTGCGCAGGCCTGAAGAGGCAACATGCAAGACAGCAACAGAAGGCTGCCAACGTGCTGGCCACTATGAGCCTCAGCTTCCATTTGTGGCTATGGCAAAGCCTTTGCTGTACCTGTTGGTATGTATGGGCCTCTCAGCCTTTTGAGCTGGCATGAAACTCAGGGATGCACCAAACCAATGGCCTTGGCTCCTTGCAGCGGACTCGGATGCACCCGCCAACCTGCACAAGACCCTGATAGCCCTTGTCCTCACCGAGCAAGCGTCGTGGGACCTGCTTCTGCCAAGTGCGAGTCCACCAAATATTACTTGCAGGGCAAGCACGCAGCAGGAACCTCCGCCCAATTTGTGAAGCTCGAGAAGTCTTTGCCTCTGGCCCGCCTTGCAGCCGCAAAATGTGTGTAAAGCACTCCCAATCCCTCAACAAATGTCTGACGGACTTAGACGCAAGCAAATGCTGCACAGGCCCAAAATGCGTAATCTGCTGGTCCTGATCCACCATAAACAGCTTGTCAGATGGTCACCGATGCACCATGCGGCAGCCTCATCGGGCAGCTGCCCTAGATTCGCAACCTGGCCAATCAAGGAGGCATCCGAGCAATGTCACCATGAGGCCCGGAAGTCTCTCCAGCCTGCTTGAGACAGGAGCCTGCGGGGCGAAGTCATGAGACTGACATGTTTGACCTGTATCCCGAACCCTGAATCCCACAGAACTACTTGCTGGGATTCCCACGCCAGGGAACCTCGAGATTGCCTCAGCACAAAGACAAACAAAGCCCTTGGCTCTTTGACTCTTTGGCCGCCTCTTTTTCAGTACAACATCTAAGCATGGACATTCCTGGCAGGTAGCATTGCAAGCTTCAGCAAGTTCAGTCCTGAGTTTCCACATGTTCGAGCGAGGCATGCACCACAGCCAGCAGAGCAGCCTCTTATTCTCCTGAATGGCCGCATAGGATGCTGAAGCACCAGCACTGATGCAGCACGATAGCGTCCCAAAGAGCATTAACAGTAGCAACCATGGGAAGCTACCCAGTGTGAAACCTTGCTTCTGAAAAGCCTCGATATGTACGAGGCAGTTCCTACCACTACCGGCAGCGGGTCAGCCAGAAGGCATATTGCCAAGAACGAGGCTCCCATCGTTCATGGTTGCTCCATAAACCGTTACAACACAGTTACGTTCAGTGCAGCCCACTAGCCGTTCCCAATTAAGCAGCAAGATCAGCACATGTCTCGCCAAGGACGTCTGGTAACTGCGATTAACACGTACCCGGACATCCAAGTGCTGATCTTGGTCATGCAGGGTGGTGGCCTGGCTGCCTTGAGCCATCCTTTGCACGCCAAAAAACCTTAGAAGCAGCAATCAGATCATGCAATCAAGGTGTTGTGAGGCTGCAGTACCACTTCATTCCGGTGCATGCCTAAGCTTCTTGCAGCTGCATTCCAAACCAATACTTCCTCATGTAAGTCTTCTCGGCGAGCTGTAACAGGGACCACTTCAGACATGGCACAGTATCTCCATCCGGTTGCACAAGCCGATTGCTTCCAAATGCCCGGGCATTCCACTCAGCCTCGTCTCTGGACGCAAATGCCAACACGCAGACAAGTCTTTCAAAAATCCAAACGAACAAGCGTAACAGTACCATTGTCTATGCCCTGCATGCTCCGAATGCACAGTGACTTGCCAAGGAGCCTGTCTTCCGAATCCTGTGCAGCCAGGGCTAGCGTGGCAGAAAAAGCAGGCCCAAGACTAGCTGACTAGCTCAGCACGCAGCAGGCTTTGAGATGGTGTGAGAAGTAAGAGATGATGAGCACACGGGCAAGAGGCCCAAGTTGGAAGGGCCCTTACGCATAGGGAGCTTATTTTCACACGTCCCTCAGCAACGCAAACCTGAAAACAGTCCCTTTCTCGGCTCGCCCCTCGCCATTTGAGAATCAAAGAGCTGTCCTGCCCGAGCCAAAGATTCCTCAGAGATGGGATGCAACTCTAGAAACGCTGAAAACGGTCGCATGTATAGAAGCCCTTCAGCGAGTGCAACCTGCAAAGATCTCGTGCACGGCATCTGGCTGAATGGCCAACAAACGCGCCCAAGTGGGATTGAGAAACCAGCGGAACAGAATGCCTGACTATTCAGGGAAGCAAGGAGCCATCCAGGAGCAATACCATTCCACAATGCCCTGGAACATTTGCAACACAGTCGACAGATACAGAGCAGGCAGAGTAGATGGGAGGCCAGTCGTAAGGCCAAGCATCTCGAACTCATGATGTCCAAGACCTGCATTGCTTCGGGAGGCAAAGCTCAGATGTGGCCCGGACCGTGTTTGAAACAAGTTGCGCGTCAGACGTCCTCTCTCACTAGGTAAGCGGTAACATCTCCTACGCAACACCCAGCCTCGCGATGTTGCTGGAGGCTCGGCTTCACGCGCTCGTATTTCGCGTTAAACACTCCGAAGTGCACGTGATGCACGTAATCTTAGTCACTTGCAGGTGGACATGTGTGATCGTGACTGTGACAAACTGGCTCCCTTCCACCTCACTAGCCACTAGCAGCGACCTCCTTCTCTGCTAACGGCTGCCATACTGCGGCAAGCAACATACAGCCGCAGCCATGATCAGGAAATATACGCACCTTGTTTCACGTGCGTGAGGTTGGCTAGAGACTAGAGGCACAAAACCGCAACATTGTAACATTTTGCTGCATCAAAGGTGCATACCCCAACCAAGCGCTCGATCAAAGAAAGGTGATGTACTTTCCTTTGGGTCTGGGAAGTCGTAATTGTCCTGACAACTGTCCAAGACCCCGGGCAAACACACAGGCATCTTAACCTCCTGTGAGAAGGCTGCGCAAGAGACATGACATGCAACGAGTTACAAAGCCCTGGAGCAAGAACAGTTTGCCCCCGAGCTGCTCGGTCGAACTTCACTACCATGCCTCAGCGGGCAGCTTCATGTACTACATGATGGCAGTGTGAGACGGTCCAGCTTTATTGACCTCGAAGACACGATTCAACCGTGTCTAGGAAGGATGAAAAGTGTTGCCGACGATGCTGAGGGTCGAAGGCCACTGCTTGCTAAGAAGATTGGCAAGGACGTCAATGCCATGGAGACCGCGAAGTGCCTCCAGGTACTTATCCTGGGATTCAGATAGTAGCCTTGGCTTGCAGGCAACGCTGATCTCTCAAATGCCTGGTTTCTCACTTGCTCACAGTCGAGCGTGCCCTCGAGTCAAGTCACAGGCTGAGGCTTCAAATCCTCATGAACAATGAGATGCGAAGACACATGACCCAAAAAGCCTTTGCTCAACTGTCACCAGGTCCTGCAGGGCCTGCAGTCATAAGCCGAATGGTGTGATATGGCTGTGCGACCCCCACCTGGGTAGCGCTTGCTCATTCTTGCCTGTACAATGCAAGCAGACTCGGACTTGAGCGCGCCGCGTATGTAGCGATGACGTTTAATAGCTGAACAATGCCAAGCAAGAGGAAGCCGGCAAGTTGGCAGACTCCATCCTGACCAAAGTGACCCTTGCAGCGCCCTCTCCCCGTCGACAATGGCACTGCATCCAGCCCAGATTCAACGACGTCCCCCTCCAATGGGTTCATTCTTTTTTGCATGTCAAAGATGTGATCCTGAGGCATGTTTGCAAAACATCGCATTGAACCACGCAAATAGACTGACATGACAACTCAGGACATCAGCTGCACGCAAGATTCCAAGGAGTTCTGCACCATAAGTCCGGCAACTACTCCCAGGCTTGCGAAAGCCGTCAGCCGCGCGGTCAACACGTTCTCCTGCAGCATTGCACGCTGAAGGATTGTCCGTTAAAGCATGCTCACAAAACTCTACAGATGTGGAGATACTCCAAAACCAGGTCCGTGAAGAAACGGGGGTCGTTCGTGATCTCCATGGAATCTGTGCGAGTGAGATCACCTGCTTCTGTGAAGACTTCAGGACCGCTCTACCAAAGGCACACCTCGCCCAAATAGGTTTGCAGTTAGATGCTTCACCTGATTCCAACACGTACTCAGCCACACCAAGGTCGGAATTTGCCCCGGCATCCAGGCGAGGTACTTAGATGCTCACAAGTCCAGGTCATGCAGCTGGCTGGACTAAATTGTGCGACCAGGAAGCTCTCCTCCTCGTCTACATCTGCTAGCCGCATGCTTGTATACCGTGCAGACCTTAAATGACATGACAACTAGCTTTGGCCATGGCCCTGTAGATTCGTTGAGTGCCATCAAGTGGCATCCTTCTGCCACGCACACACGTCCACTTTTGCGGACAGTTTCCACAGCCAAAAGTGTGCTGCGTGGAGCCAACGCTCGCGCAACTCCATGCACAGAACAACGAGATTTGTTGGCTTTCTGGCGTCCCATGTTCTTAGATGAACTTGTTCTGCATGCCCGTCTTTTCTACATGTTTCCCGTACGCATGTGCTGCGGTCCAGTTCCACTTAAGACGTAGGATATCCCTGGAATTATACAATCTTGCAAGCGTCGCCTTGCAGGCATTGCCACAATTTCGGCACAAAACTATGCAACTCAGAAGGGCTGAGACTGGGTTGAAAGCATAGGGGTATGAAAATACCTGCAATGTTGGTAATTATCCTGGAGTCTCTTACCCATGAAAACACGAGAAACACCGACCTGTCGGTCGAATTTAATCCGGCTAAGCACCACCTTGGGTGCTGCTGAGGGCTCCTAGCTAAAGCACACCGTGGGCTTGACGTGTACACAATGGCATTGGTTGACAAACTCAGCCAGACTACATCGAGTCTGCAGCTGGCTGCATTATGCCCTTTAGCCGTCTTCACTCCATTAGCTCTGGTGAAACAGCATCCCTGTCACATGTCTTGCTATCGCAAGTTGTGCGACATCCTCCACGCTCAAAAGAGTCATCTCCTGCCCAGGGGTCTGGCTAGTGCAAACTAGAACAAGTGCACTGCCTGAAAGGCATGCCATGTCAAGCACATGCACATCGCCAAGTAGGTCAAGGCAATTTTGGTTGCCATCACCTTGTAGCACCCCTGCGCGACATCGTCACGAGGACTTGCTGATGTTGCTGAAGAGTATCATCCAGCAGCTTGTACCGCTCGTCGAAGATGGCAAAATGCTTGCGATGGATCCACCCTAGGCTCCACCCTGACATCTCTTTCACTTGCGATTACTGCCTTCCTCCAAGTGGCAAACACAGAAAGCCATGAACATGAAGAGCCCACACCTGAGCTGCTTAGGCATCCTAACGCTCGAGCACTTCTGCTATTGCGGCCCTCACAGCACGTGTTTAGCCCATGTCCGCCAGGATGCGAGAAAAAGCCCAGCTGTCGGCACTGGTCTGGCAAATCTTTTGGAGGATCTGGTTCTTTCATATTCTCCTCAGTCGAACGGCCACAAGCGCCCGGCTTTTTAACGGACCCTAGCCAGCTCTTGGAGTCAAAGCTCTCTATCGAACTTCACCACCATGCCTCAGACTTTGCAGGGCTGCAAGTATTCCTTGCATTTTGATCGTGCACTCTAACTACAAGCTACTTCTACGCACCGTCCGTACACTGCTTGTCGTAAAAGCAACCGCATGCAACGGCAATTCTTCGGCCGGGCAACGGAGCCCAGTGCTAGCCACAAACATTGGCAGACTGATGAGGGCCCCCCAAATGGCAAAGTGTCGCCAGGCAATGATGTTCTTGTTTAAGTAGTAGCCTTCATATGTCGAGCAATTGTTGTGTGCACTTCTGCTACCAGGGAACCTGAGCAAGCGTGAGTGCCGCAGAGTTACAAGCTGCCGACTCAAATCCTTATTGGTGCAGTCGGCCAAGCAAGCAAGGTCAATCAGCTGTCTGTGGGATGGCATGAGCAACAACCAGAGGCCAACTACCCAACCCTGGCCAGGCTTCCTGTCGGTCCCGCAGTCATCAACCGTACCGTATGATAGGGCTGCGCCACGCCAACATATGTGGCGATGATGTTCAAGAAATGCACGAGTCCCAGCAGGGCAAAGGCAATGAATTGACAGGTGCTGTCCAAATGCTTGTGAGGCTTGTACCACTCGCACATGTCTTTCTTGATGTCAAATAGGTGATCCTCAGCTCAGCTTGGTGGGTAACAGGCTGTCTGGCCACGGCGCATCAAGATCCAGTGGTTGGCACAAACGCGTCTCGAACGAGAGTCCATGGAATTCTGGACCATGAGCCCTGCCACCACACCCAGACCTGCAAAGGCTGCCAGGCGGTAGTTGATCACGTTGTCCTCAAAAACCAGAGATATTGGAAGCAGTATTCAGATCTTGTTGAGTAAGGCAGCACCACGCAAGGCCGCGTGGCATTCCCTCCTGGAAGAAACGCGGATCATTCGTTATCTCCATGGAGTCACTATGCGTCAGCGGCATCGGACCTGAGAGTCAGTCCCTGAAAGCTCCCGGGAGCCTAATACGACACCTGATGGTGACAGGCATCGCCGCGCCTGACGTCATTACGCTCTCACTGCACCCGAGCTCGGCATAGTCTCCACCATCGAGGCTGGGCAGATTACCTGAACAAAGACAAATCAAACGGACAGGGATCGCAAGAAATCAACAGACCTCCACGGCCGAGCTCCTCCGCCATGCCTCGGTAGCAAGCCGATCAGAGCATTGCTAATGCATGGAGATGCCTTAGAGGCTGAGGGCGGCGCTGTCTCCGGGCAAAGCGGGGCGCAAAGGCTTGAGAAAAAAACAGCGTCTCACGTGACACCCAATGCAGCCCTTACGCATCCCTGGAAGCCCTCGACAGAGCAGAAACGGTCACATTCAGTTCGCCCTGTGAGGTGCAAACAAGCTTGCAAGAAAGCAAGAAGCCAAATAGAACGAGTTCCAGGCTGAGGCTCAAGTTCAAGCCTCAAGGATGAATCGCTTCGGCGCACGTGAGCATTCTGGCATATGCGTAGGCAGGCATCGTTCCTGAGGCACTGGCACTGGAGCAAGACGCCTGCCTTGAGCAGCAAGGCAAAACAAGTAAGCCAGCCCGTCATGGGCAGACTGTGAACGGCGGCCTCCGCTTGACGCTGCGTCGGGAGAAGGCAAAGCTTGACCTCGAGCATCCCAAACTCAAAGACGCACCAAGCCAGGCACAATCTGAGCTCGACACCAAGCCAGAAGTCCCAGCCGGAGAGCCACGGAGGATGGCCGCCTATACTGCTAACAAACCCAAAAAAAAAACATTTTCGTCATTGAGATCTAGCGGCACAGTTTGGAATCCTGAATAGCTATCAATCCAGCACAAGATCTTGCGTGGATGTGCGATCACATTAAAGCGCATCCACCTCAGAACCTGCAGGACAAGCTTCAACCTCGGTGTGCACAGCTCTTCAAGTAGCTTCCGAATCCCTCTTTGAAGTGAGTTTTGAGGCCCCGCACGCAGCCGGGGATCGATTTGGAGTCCCAGGCCTGAAGACACTGCATGCAACACACCCGCCACATCCCGCCACTTACATAACATCACAGAGGCCAAGACCTGCAGGTCCACAAATCGGTCCGGGCAAAGCGCTGCCTTTGTCAAAATCTTACCAGGGACAAGTGAGTCTCTGGAATCTCCATGTGAACAAAGGCTGCACAGCTGCAAGGTTTGATCACTTTCCAACAATCAAGGGTACAAATACCCGCATGGGCCATCTTGATCTTGAATCGCAAAGACTTCTGTAGAAGTGGCTTGAACCTGGTTCCATTTGCTCGAACACTGGACAGGATTCAGCTTGCCAGCTCAGCACATTGCTAGAGAACATCTCTTGCTGTGCAGCAGCTTGTCTTGCCTTTAGTTGTTCCTGCACGTTGCTCGTTTGTTTGCGTCTCGCTGATTCTGCCGCACTTGGCTTTGGGTCTTCACAACTCTCCTGACTTGCTGGGCGTGTCTTAGAAAACTGGCCCCGCGAGATCAAAAGGTGAATTGACCAAGCTCCGCTTTCTCTGCCCTTTTCTCCTTGTACTGGTCAAGTGCCCATGCTGCACGAGCGATGTAAGAATCGTCAGGGCTAAGCCTAAGCCAAGTCCGCTGCTCCTCCAGCTCTCCCAGCTGCGGCGGTTTCTTGCTCTGTCTGGTAGGCCAGCCTGGGCAGGACATTTAGCCGTAATTCGGCATCGCCATCTACGTTTACAGGCCCCTTGTGAGAGCTGGGCGATGCCACAAAGAGGTCAATCACAAGTCTGCCTGGGCCGCCGGAAGGCCACTCAGGTCGGCGAAGCCAAAGAAGACAAAGGCCGGGACCCTGCATCCCATCGCCGCCATCATCGGCAAAGCGCAGACTCCAAGGGCGAGGATAACTGTGTCTTGCAAGCTTATGTCGGGTTGCTGCACATAGCCAAGTACCCGAATGACTTGCTGAAAAAAGCAGCGTTCCATCCACTGTGGTTTCCCCATACCTCTTTTGATCCCTTGAGGATGCTTCAGTTCAGCAAAGCAGCATCACACCTCACGTTGCATTACCTGCACCCGGCCTGCGCTTGGCTAAGACTCAGACACATCATTCCGCAAACTCACTAGGAACAGAGCAGGCTCGTAACCTTCCGCGTTAGTTAACCTAGCAGAAATCGCGCTCCCCAGGGTCAGACCTCCAGTCGATACTCGCGTGTGAAGAAGATGGAGGAAGCGCTGATGCCGTGTCATCTCTGCTGTGCGAAAAGAGTGTCTGATGGCGTGGTCAGGTCGACAGGCTATACATTCCCATAAGATATGCGGAAACGTGTACTGAGACAGTTGTTTCCGTGGTGTTCTTGTTTTTCTTCACCTGTCACACTGACCATCTACGATAGGAAGAATGTGGTAAAAGAAACAAGCTCAGCAAATTGGAAGCACTAGGTCCCTTCTAGGAACTAACAAAAAGTTTCCTAACTCTCGACTACAGAGTGTTAAGCGACGACTGTGCAATGCCCTGGCGGACGCTTTTCCACCGCAATCTGTCCTTCCGCTACTAAGGTCACTAGATCTTGCGGCTTCTGAGCCGAACTTGCCATGATCTTTCCATGATGAGCGGCCCTGAGGTCGAGGTTCACCAGATGCCAAGGACTTGCCACGGCCAGCTAGCACGAGACCGCATCATCTCAATGTCGTTCAGATTGTTTCCGAAGAGCTCGCGACTCCGACTAAAGCTCCGAGCCTGGGACCAAGCCTCAAGGTTCTTGGGACATCCTACGCAAATCCGATGAAGCACAAAAATCCCGTTAAGGCATTGACGGTGGAAGCCAGCTAGAAGTAGCACAGTCTCTGCAGCCACCAGAGCAAGCATTGTCAGGCGCAGCCCTCGGAAGCCACCTGCAACACAGCATGGCTTAGTTGTGGGACTCGCCAGCTCTGAGACTCTGTGCCTGAAGTCGCCACATGGCTCCCCAGTAGGGGACCCACGAAGTTGGCAAAAGAGAAGGCAGCCTCTGAGATCCCCTGCATGGTGCCCTGCCACATGTCACGCAAGCATTGAAGATTGACATGTTGCAGTGGGATGCACTGCTGCTTCTGCCTGCACATGCTTTGGCAGGTGGCTGGTATAAAGGGTCCGTGCGGGCGTACGTATCAGCGGTGCCGGTGCTACAGCAAGCACCTGGGTCAAGCATAATATGCCATCAGAAGCATGAGCCGATGTGTGTCTGAGCACGATGCCAACCACGGCAGCACGAACCCCTGAAGCAAGCGATGCTTACAAAAAAAACGGCCTTTCAACAGTAATGTCCACGCCAGTCCATGCAACCCAGCTGCCAGGAAGGACACGCCTGCAGCATGCAGGGATCATTGTCTTTAGACACGTTCAACCCTCACTTCTTTTGCGGAGATGCTGCCCAGCCTGATTCCCAACTTATCTGCGCCCACAAACCACCGCAAGAGATGAGCACGACACCTGCAATCCTCAGCTCTTGAATGCCTTGTCCAATCGACAAGCCAATGTCGAGGAGCTAGGTCTGGCATGCCAGGGTAATGCTGCGGACGTGAGGTCAGCGCATCAAGATCCGGCCGCTGACCTTTCGGCTCATAACCTTCCAAGCACTCCCGAGGCTCAACTGCTGTGACAGCTGGCATCTCCCCTCCAGCCTCAACGACTGCAAACAGCACGAAGACCGCCAGCGAGGCCACGCCGAACAGAACAGATGTTGCCGTCGGTGGCAGGCGGAACTCAGGGAGCATGTACGATCAAAGAGGTGATTCTGCACCGAATGCAAGGATCAGCCAATCATTCGCGTCTGCTTTTCCTCGTTGGTGAGTACGATTGGTGGGACGACCTCCAGGACCGCCAAAAGCAGCGCCGTTGTTACCTGAAAACACCACATATACGCTACAAGTAGGAGCTCGTATTTAAACATCAAAGTGCAGAGTAGGCCTGGAACAAGAGGCAAGTCCATATCACCGGTGTAGTTGGGATTCCGCGTGCCTAGGCACTCATGGCAAAAACATGCAGAAACTACACGAGGAAACTATGCGAGTGCAGGATGAAAGCTCGAGGTTGGAGCGGGAGCCAGCTCCCCGCGTTCTGCTGCTGACGTTGCTAACGCCTGCCCCATGTGATCCTACCCGCTTTTGAAATGCCTTTGGTTCTTCTGGCACCCAGGTACCCAGTGGAGGGCAATCAGTGGACAGTTTTCATTGCATGAAGGTTCATGTTGGGAGGGAGCTTGCTTTTTACCGCCCCGCGCCTGCGGCTCGCCCTTGGGCACTGGTGGGTCCGAGAGGTGATCTGGGCATTGCGATGAATTAAAGGATATTTCGTAGCCCGGATTATCTGAGCTAACTTCAACTTTCTAGCACCAAATGGCACCATGCCACCAGAGAGCCCGGCACCAACAAAGCACGACGCCCAAGATGTTTGCTGCGGCAATGGCCCAGCCTGCGCAAATCGCTCGGTGCCAAATGCTGCAACAACAGGGAACGGCCTGCTGAGTTCAGCTCGTTGAACAAGCCTTCCTGGACGGTAGCTCGTGCCACTCCATGATGGACCATGATGGAACTGAATGGCTTGTTTCCACATATGCTGGCCTCGGGCAGCACGCAGAGCAGGGTACTTCCAAAGGGGCCAATGAAGGTGCCCAATGAGCGCATGGTGTTCAGCCGGACCTGCATCAGGTGAAAAGCTCCTCCATAACAGAGGAGCCGAGGCCGGCCTGCGCTGCTGCAACCTCTTCCACGCCAGACAAAGCCTAGCCAACTTGCGGGGGATCATTGCTTAAAGACCAAATTGGCGCTTGGGCACCAACTCGAGCGGTCCAAGCAAACAGCAGCGGAGTACAGGAGGCGCCTATTCCGCAGATGACTCTGGACCTGGGTACGTAGCACTGGGGCGAAGACACCTCTCGCCCGCACAGCACTGAGCATGCCACACCAAGAGCAACCACGGGACAGGCGCTAACGCGTACAACACACCTGGACCAGGCATGCAAGTTCCTCAAGGGTCAGCAACCCACATGCCAATCAATCCAGCATTAAGGCAAAAGGGATTCATCTCTTTCTCCTCACTCGCGCAGCAACGCAAGACCGCTCAAACGTTCATCATCGTCCATGCCGACCGGTTCTTGCAGTAACTCGCTGTGCCCAGCTCCAGGAGGTCACTGATCCGCGCTGAGGGCTAAACCAAGTCAACAGAGCTGGTTACCAGGAGGCCGTCCGGACGGCTGAATCTTGGACCACAGGCCGCCAAAGAGTCTAGATGATCCTTTGCCACCTTGGTCATGCGAGGGCAGGTCAAGTCTGGCCATGCCATGCCGGAGGGGTGACGCATCCAAAAAAATGCTAAGCATCTTAAAACTCACCGAAAAAATCAAGAAAAAATGAATATCTGCGCCCGGCATCAAAAAATAATTTAATGAAGGGCCATAAGACTCTAAGTAGCAAGAAGAGAGAGAAGGGTGAATAGTAATAGTCGTAATACGAACACGGAGAAAAGTAATAATAGCAAAACCCATAAGAACAAGAGCCACGAAGCCAGGGGCCTGTGCGTCGTGCAGAACACTCCCAAAAGCTAGGAAAGCCGAAAAGCCAAGAAGCCAGTGGGCTGCAGCTCAAATTATGTTTGATGCTCGTCCAATTATTTTTTGATGCTTGCCCAATTCTTTATTGATGCCTTTTTTATTTTTTGTACATGCCTATGCCTACCATGCCTTCCTCTCCCTATGCCAGGGCACTCAAAGACCTGGTTGTCCCCGTCCAGCTGCGCTCTCCTGAGAGATCTCAAGCAAGCACATTCCGCCCCTTGCCCAACCCCGTCGCAGTTGAGCGTCTTGAGTTGAAGGCCCGGCAATTCCTTCCACGCAGCTTCCCTCACCTTCAACAAAGCACACTTGAGGCATCAGCGCAAAAGTGCAAAAGGCCCAGTGAAGGCGCAGCGCCTCCATGGGCGGCAGATTGTACCAACGTTGGACATCACTGCCGTCGGAGCATCGCCACGCCACCCAGTAGGAATGATCTTCGGATCCCGCCTTTGAAAAACAAAGTGCTGAAGCATGGAATCTGCCCTCTTGAGCATGCCCTGATTGCAACTTGCAACGACTGGCCTCTACGGGCCTCCCGCGCTTTGCCACGGCCTTTGCCCTGGGATCCCAGCAGGATGCCAGCAGCCTTCCACCTGCATGGCACGAGAGGATGGAGCAAAAAAGCCAATCCCGAAGCCGTGTAAGCCATCAGGCACGTAAAGTGCCTCTTCAGAAACAGTGTTTCTGACCCTTTTCATTGGGGATGCCTGGGCGTAGTAGGCGCGTCAGATCTTGAAGAGCAGCCCGGGACTCCGCCAGGGGCAGATGGTGCAAGACAGCACCTCGCAAAGACACCATGCACTGCACCAGTTGAGCCTGATGTTTAGCATATCTGCATCGAGGTACAGGAGAGGATATGCTGGATGGATGCATCTGGCAATAGGATGGCCCTGGTGTCACCGTGCAGGAATACTACATTCGCGCTTTGCGGGCCCAGACGCCTCTCAGCTGCTTTGAGCATGCCCTGCGACAAGTCCAAGGCAAAAACCCTATCGAAGCCCAGTTCTAAGGCAGTTTGCACGTGTCGGCCATCTCCACAGCCAGCTACCAGCAAACTTTCCTGGGTTTTTGCTTCCATGAGCCAGGAGACCACGAAGGGCCAGGGGAAGCGCCTGCTGTCTGCAAAGTTTGCCGATATCTTGTCGTAGGCAGCCTCGACTGTTGTCCATGGGTTCACCTTGTCGGCACATGCTCGGCCCACCGCTCCACATCTCAGAAGTGCTGTGGACCTCACAAAGCCAGTCAAAGGCGAAGCCAGGCAAACAAGTACGACGATGATCCATCTTCGTGTTCTCGCCCTGGCTTCTGACATTGTCGCATCAGGACCAGTCCATCCCAGCTCTCTGGCTGCTGCGCCCCATGTGTGCATAGGATACTACACAGCAAAGCATGCAAGTTCTACGGTGTTCTGGCCTTGCAGAGTGAAGGAAGTGCCATGTCTAGCCTATCACTATGAGATCACTCTGTGAGAGCTCGGCCTGCGGCAAAACCCATGGCCCATGGCCCATGAAACTGACCAGCAAATCTCTGCACATGTTGGCACTTCTTGCAGATCTCACCTCCCAGTGCCGAGCACAGCAGGCAGCTGCAGAGCAGCACCTGAACACCAGGTGCAACAGAGCTCCCATCACGATGACATGAAGACAGCTCTCAGACATCTCTGGCCTGAAAGTCGAAGCGATCACCCAGAGCTCCGATGATCCTATGACTGAGGCCAGCTTTCGGCCAAGACACCATCCAGAAGAACACCGCTGCAGACGGGCCACGGTTGACAGATCACTCGAGTGAGCGAGAAAGTACCAATCACTAGCCCAAAGTACCTTGCAACATCGTAGCCACGTAGAATCTCAATTACTGGATGGTGCTGGCCAGGGCACGTCTCCTCTGAGCCCATTCTCTGCAGCAACGGCCATAGGGTTGGGATGACCATCCCCCACCTGCAGAAATACTGGGACCCAAAAGGTTCGCAGATGCTTCTCGGCTGGGTGATTTGAGAGGCCGCTGCCAGCACGCTAGGGCAGTAAGAAACAACAACGCAAAGAATGCAAACTGTGCACAGCCCCGAGTCCATATTCACACCACCCTGGTATGCTAAGCTCCCAACTCAAAAGTGCCAAGGAAGATCACATAGCATAGCACACCCAGGCCCACAGGCGCCTGGCCCTGCTCAGACCCGGCATTAAGACATAGGTGATCATCGAAACTGGTGAGCGTCCTCCAAGCGCGTGTACATTGAGAACGGACGTTTACCAAGCTGATGCCATGGCAGGGCAGGGCAAGCTACCAACAATCTGAAGAACTTCTGGCCGTAGCCGGCAAGATGCTCAAAGACTCTGAGCATGTCTGGTTAGAGCACTAGCTTCTACTCCCAGTGCTCCATTCAACAATTGCTTGATGGCGATGACCACAAGAACGACTGAAAGCATTGCTGCCTAGCGAGCCATCAGAGATTGCCGAAGAAAACGAAGCCTTTCGAACTTCCAGCGGTGGAAAACGATCACTGCACGTAGGTGCGGCGTATCGCTGCGCTAGGCTGGCCGTGAGCTTTGCTCAGTGCACATGCTGCAGCAGCATTTGCAGCCAGGAAAATTTTGACTTGTCTTGATTTTGCGCAGACCCAGCTCTCTTTGTAGACCTCTATTTGTTCCGGATGGCAAGCTAGCAAGTAGTGGATATCAGACAATGGAATGAATTACACCCATGTCTAAAGATCTCCTGCTCTCAGAATTCAGCGTGACCTGACTGGCAGGCACTAGCGTCTGCCGGCTGCGGACACGGTGCATCCAGCAGAGAATGCATCACTCGAACTCCACTCTTGAGGACGAAGCCAGGATATCGAGGAAAGGGGATGACATCGCGAATGTTTTGGACCTGTAGACTATGGAATCTGTTCAGCTTGATTTCACCAGAAAAGGCCCGAACATGGCTAGAACTTAGAATTCTGTCCAGGCAGAGTTATACCATGCCTTGCACAAGACGGCACAGCTTGCTGAGTTCTCTGCGCCCGTGCAGAGCATGACAAGCCGCTCAAAGCCCACACCGAAGCCAGCGTGCGGGACGGAGCCAAACTTTCCTTAATCGATTCAGCGTCAGCTGACATGTAAAGAGGGCCAAAACATGTGGAGTGTGTACTGTAACGCCTGCCTGCTCTAGAAGATTAACATGTGAGGCTTGGGCTCAGGTCCCTGTACCACCAGTAATCCTCCTTGTTGAGGCCCATCCTTGGAAATGCCCAAGGTCATCTCTCGAAAGACTTGGGAGCAGCTCCGGAGATTCCGGAGACTCTGAACGTGCGCACTACTTCTTGTAAGTTGGCCGGTTTTCGTCTCTGCCTCCGGTGCCCTTGAGACGTAGGAGGTCAGTTTGCAGTTGCCAACCTGCATCTACCGACCTAGCGAATTCAATGTGACCTTGTCCACCATCAGTAGCAGAGAGAAACAAAAAACAAGGCAGAAAGTGTTGTTGGTTGAGAACAACAGCTCGACCGCATTGACCCACAAAGATCCTCAACCAATGCTGTGAAACCCGTGCACACTCGTGTGCATCCTCATTAGCAGGGAGACTTCAGGCTGAACAGGTGGTCTCCGGGTCCTTATATAAATCAGGTAAGTTTGCCAAACAGACCGTCTGTTCAGATCCATGCTTCCTGGAAACCAATGTTTGGTTTCGTTGAGCTTTTTGCTCGAAGCCAGGTGCCGACTCTCTGCTATGCATCGGTCAGAAGCTCAGCTGCAAGCTCTGTGGTAAGCAGTGGACCTCGCAAAGGGAATTGTAGCCATCGCTAAAACGGCTCACGAACACACCGCAGAGGTCCGCACCCAGTTCATTGCCTTGCGGCGACTGGCAGTTGGAGCGGCGGCGAGATGAGATGCATTTCCAGGCCAGCATTAGGCTGAGAGCAACGAGACCTGGCGGGCTGCAGCCTTTTCTCAGGATCAGGAGTCCTTACTGCAGAGAGGTCTGAGCAAAGCGCCGGCCCACACAACCACCAGTCGTGCGATGAGGGTGTTCTGCTCGCTGGACACAGACTGTATGGCCTGGAGCGCGGGAATTGCATGACGCCGCCACTTGCATCAAACTGTTCTGGGTTGCAGCCTCTCCGGATCAATGTTCTTTCTGTCTGGCTTACTTGCTTGTCGTCTGTGCTTAACACTGGCACTGGCGCCTGCGACTTCTGCTGCAAGACAGTCCCCGTATGCGGCAGCCCTTACAAGCGAGCGGCACATTGCCCAGTCGAGCATGCAGCATCAAAAGATGTGAGCGAAAGAGAAACCACAGTTGTTGAGTCCAGAACAACGTCTGCACCTATGCTTGAAACTTGGATGGACAAGCTCCAACACGGCCCGATCCTCACAGGATTCCTGGATGTGAGCCCATTCCACTCTGCCAACTCGTGCCCGCAGTTTCCAGTGGAGACTCTATGCTTGAACGAAATTTCTGCCAGGGAGCAGTGCTTGCGAAAGAATTCATGCATGAGACGGTTCGCGTTGATCCTCACATCAAGAATGGAGTCATGTGCAGAGCCTCAGGGAAGAACCGTTCAGGTAGTCTGAAACCCGTTGCTTCTCTGGATAGTGGCACTTTCTCGGCTCTCGGTCCTGCCAACCTTGCCCAGGTTCGGGATCTTCCAAGCAGCACCGGGCCTCATCGATGCTGCACCGCAAGAAGCCGATTGCACTGCCGATACCCCAGCCCCACTGCATCATCAGCCAAGATGCCACTGGTGACCAGCTCCATGCAGCCGTATCAGCTCCACTGTTGCTTCGCCCTGGCAACCTTTGTACCTTGTTGTTGAATCACATCATCGCCCGGCTCAAACACATCATTCATTCTTGCTTCTCGCGTTCACAACTTCTGTTTCTTTTCTGTTCGCAGCAAGCTCTAGAAGCGATGTGCGGCGAGCCCTAGACGGGTTCCCTGGATGCCCTCAGGTCGCATGTGCTTAGCACTGTGGTGTCATTGGGCCAGCAGAAGATGAAAATCAGTAGATGTGTGCGCTTGTCATGCAGGTTTTTCCTCGCTCCAGCCTGACTCTAATCTCTACCATCTTATGCAGCTTGGTTTGCTAAGGGGCTCTTCATAGTTGCCCCTGTGGATGCAAAGTTCCTACGACCGCCCTGCATTTGTTCACAGCAGGCTTGCTGGAATATTATTGGGCAAGCAAGGGCAACGGCGAAGTCACAGAACCTGCTTGTGTTGGAAGAGGCAGGACTTGCCGGGCTGAGAATCAACAAGGTGCAAGCACTTCTCAGCCAGGCCAATGTGTGATACGGCTTCCAGCTTGCAGCGATATGTTCTGCAAAGCACAGGCCAGTGGCAGCTTGTCGGGATGCCTGAGAGCCTTCCTTTGCGATGTAAATGTGAAGAGCGAGCCTCCTTGACTTTTTGGGTGACTTGAGGCGGGAACTGGCGTGTGGACTGCATGCCGGGCTCCTCATATGGCCCTGTGACAGGTGGAGAGATGAGATGGCTGAATGAGTTATATCAGGCCGCTCTCACCTGATGGTTCAGACGAAAACCATCACTCGTGTCTTGACTCAAGCCCGTTTATGCTGAGAGTTTAGGATTTGATGCCGCAACCACCCTCATCCGCATCACAACTCCAGCATGGTATCAAGGACTTTGTAGAGTGCAGGCGCTTGGATGCATAGAATCTGAAATTCAAGAACTCGCGCTGAAACCTGGCACGACAACTTCACATAAGCTCATTCGTCATTCTAAGTCATCAGGAATTAGCACTGAACTCAGCCTTGGGCAAAGATATCATGAAGACCGGATGTACAAGTACTCACCAGCTGGTGCAGTTGGTCAGGCACATTGATCCCGCTGCCAAGGGACGAAGCCACTGCAAAACCTGCATGTCATGTTCTCTGGAGGCAAAGACTTGCACGGAAGCAGTACATCAAGTAAAACGGAAAGCCTTCTTGCTCCACAAAGCTTGGGGCAAAGTCTGCATGGCCTTGGCAGGCATAGTCTGGGTCAGTTGCGCGGGGCGCCGCCATTTGACAAGCTTCTGCTGATTACCCCAAACGATGCAAACCTAGATACATAGCCTTAGGCCCGGAATTATTTTTGGAGTTGTTTTTTTGAATTGTGGTTTTTTCTGGTGCCGAGGCCAGCAAGTATTGTAAATTTCAGTATGGTGCTTTGGCTGTCTATTTTCATCCGCATCACAGGAGGTGCTTGGAGGCTGCGAGCGCTGGTAAACATAGCTCTTCGGGTCCCAGGAGGTGCTTGGAGGCTGATGCTGGTAAACCTCGCACTTGGGGGTATCGGAGTGGAAGCCGGTGGCAGAAATCATGATTTGGTAGAGTCGCAAAGTGTTCTTAGAAGCGGGAAGTATTAAATACCACTTGTGAAGGCATTTGCAACATACAACTGTCGCGAAACTCATCATTCGGCAGTGTTCGTGTGGTTGCTTGGAGGCTGCGAGGGCTGATGAGCATGATATTGGGACATGTGGATTCGAGGTCTGTGGTGTGAAAAATCATCATTTGGTAGTTTTTAGCAAATGGAGCCGCGAAGTAATGGTAAAGGCGACATTTGAGGCTGTAATTCTGTGCCAGCAAGTTCAGGGGAAGATGGTAGGAGCGCAAGCAAACTATGGCATGAAGAGCTGCGCTTCTCGCGGAGGTGCAAAAGAACTGTACAACACCTTTCATTAGCCTTGTTCCCGTATTACAGAATTGCAGTGAGGGGGAGGCGCAGTTCACAAGACTCGCTGCACGTGTTCGAAGTGTCCACAAAGTGGTCAAAAAAATGATCAACGCGTTGGAGCTCAAGCTGCGGCTAGGTCGCTGCAGCTGTTAAATTTGGCCCAGTCTTGCAGGGCATCAGGGACCGAAGAACTCCAGTAGCTCATGCCATGTCCTGCTTTGCAAACAACAGGTGTCATACATCTTTAAAGCAAAGGATGGAACTCACATACAAGGCCTCCCCAGGGGTTGATGGGATCGGCATCTCCGTGAAATGCCTCCAGTATGCTGAGCCCCCTTTTCTGAAACACTTCCATGTCCCAGGCACAATGAGCTCAAAGCAGGCACAGTCGTACTAAGTGCATCCTGGTGGCAAGGACTGGCATGGGCCTGCCTGACACAAAAATGCGGACAAAATGTCTGCAGCTTCTTGAACTCCCAAGGATTGCTGAAGAGGCACTCGCATTGTTTGGACTTGGAAATCGTATTCCTGGCGATGGATCCACCATCAACGTCATGCCTGTCTTTATCTCTTTGAGCTACAGGCGGCGACAAGCTGCTGCAAGCTGTCCTGACACCGGGGCCACGGATGCAATGATGGTAGACCTTGCGGGCTGAATGCTCAGCTGAAGCGCTGGACAATCTTTGTCGCGCTGAGCCCCAAGCAACTCCGAAGCCAACCGCATGCCTGGTAGGAGAAGGACTATCGAACCAGGTTTCCCTTCTGAACAACCCTTCCATGTTGTTTGTTTGCCATGTTGTTCAGAAGTCCTTGGATTTTGTAGGCTTTGGAGCCTTTGAATTGCCAGTGATGTCATTCTTGTACACTTGCATGGCCAGGGCCTAGCTCCATCTAGCTCCTAAACTGAAACCAAGACAAGAAAACAAAGTAGACTTCCAGAAGGCACCGTTCCCGAAGTTGCCGATGATTCTCCATAGGGTCTCCAGCTACGCAATCCAGACACCCAAATGTACAGCGGCAACTGTGAAGCTTGTTGAGTTAGCGATATGCGTCCGAGACACAGAAACGGGCTCCGTTCGAGTAGCCGGTGCAGTGGATCCGCCGGATGTCAATGCACGGAAGCTGCATGACCTTCCCACCACACACGAGGAGGGTTCCGACGGCTTGATATTTAACAGCTGAACTTACAGAAGTTCATGGAAGCAGGCCTGTGTCTCCTTCCATACGGTTTTGACATGTTTCAGAGTCATCAAGAGTCAAGCAGAAAAGTGTACCTATGCGTGCACAGGCTGTGCTGCTACTGCCCACCTTTCGAAGAACTGCCTTGATGAGAGCAACATCATGCACCCCCTGCGCGCAGAAAGCTATCACAGCTATCAATGAAACTCACATCCCATGGTTTCAGCTTGAAGGGGGCTAGCTGCCGAACTTCAAATTCTTGCCAGGATATTTCGCGACTCTTGGCTGCATGCTTGATTTCGCTGATACTATTCCTGTGGGTCAAGCAGCCATGTTGCGGTGCTTCAGTCCCCATCAAAAGGCTTCAGACTGCTACCCCGAAGTCTCCATCTAGGCATGGGCTTTGGAAGGCCTCTCGCTCTTCGGGTTGGCTGTGCAGACCAACCTTCGCGCTCTAGCGCAACACCCACCAGTACACGGCTTCAAAGAAGAGAACACGGTTTTAGCTGCCACCGTTGCGTGACGCAATGGCTCCCATGCAGCCGAGCAGCATTGAACTGAGACCTGAGACACTGGCAGCTCAGAAAAAAGGATCTCAACATAAAAAGCACCTGCTGAAAAATAACAAGATTGTGAGATCCGTGCTGGCCGTAGAAGTCTGAGTTTGGTAGCGCCTCTGCGTTCAGACTGCTCTTACTTTCTTCTCGATACTGGTGTGCTACCATCTGACTCTAACCTCTTTGGCTGGCTGTGATCTGCTCCCGCATGTTGCATTGTCAAGAACGCAAGTTGTGAGTGCTGCTATGACACCTCCACACAGCAAACCCAACAAGCAACCTGTGGAGCGATCAAGGCAATGTGATGGTTCCGGGTGAACTCATCCAAACCTGCCACATCAAACGAGTCATGGTCAGCCAACTACCTGAGTGTAGCATTGCAGTCTCTCTGCAGGCAGCTAGCAGCCAGCATTCTTTAAAGACAGCTCTTTCACGAAACATCTCACCTACTGATGAAGGTAAAAGTAGCTTGGCTAGATGTGACCCCGTGATCTAGCACGGTGCATCCCTTGATTTTCTGATTTGGCCTGTGTATTGCAGGAAGTCCTCGGCTTTGGCAGGACACTTCTCAAACTTGAAAGCCCAGAAATTGGTTGCCATCGAAGGTCTGCAGCTTTGTTGTCAGTGCCGTGAAACACCAACCAGAGCGGAAGCTTTCCGACGAAAAGTGCCGGAGGAAGGAACAACAGGAAACCTCAGCGCATGAGGGTGCAGGCTACAGCAGTGACTAGTACGGAGAAAAAGCTGCACTGGACAGCCATGGACGCCACAGGCCGCAAGAAGAGTGTGCAAGACTTGCACTCCCCGGCCCTCCAAAAACTGCATGAAAGCTGCTACGGCGTCTGCCGTCCACTTCAACCTCGACGTTCGTGATCTCCATACCTATCTTGCAATGGTCTTCCTCCACCTGATGGGAGCAAGCTGACGCATACGCGGCGCACAGCTTCAAAATCTCAGGCAAAGACGGCAAAATTTCCAAGCCGAACTAGCTCTCCCGCTTGCAGTGGCTTCGCCTTAGCTTCGCATACAATCAGTGGATGGATGCCAAGCATGGGTTATATTCTGAATGCAGGAATACGGAAAGCCCTTTCCGAGCAAATCACTGTTTTTGCCGTAGGTTCCATTGCACCGACTCCTCTCCAGTGCTCGGCCGCTGACTCGGCCGCAATGTGCAATGCCTTTGCTTGTGTTGTGCGAGTCGTCGTTGACAATGTTGTCGCCGTCGTTGTTGACCGGGTTGTCCGGGTCGTTGTTGACAAAGTTGTCCGGGTTGTTGTTGACACGGTGGTTTGTGAGGTTGCTGTCAATGTCGAGGACAATGTCCTGGTGAGACTAGTTAAACTTGTCGTCGTTAAGCTACTTAAGCTGGTTGTCGTCAAGCTTGTTGTCGTCAAACTCGTCCTGGTCGTCGTGGTAAGCGTGCTTCTTGTCGTGAGCGAAGTTGTGGTGTGTGAAGTCGAGGTTTTCGTCATCTGTGCTGCCAACCACATCTTTGTTAACCCGAATGGTTCGCACCGATTGCGAGACACTTCCCAGACTACCAAATGCAAACACCATACAAAACGCAGGAGTCTACGGGTGACTGTTCGTCACAGGGCTTACAGGCTCTATTGCATGACTTGCTTCGTGCAGCACATTAATGCCAACGAGGCACTGTTTTGGTCACTGTTGTCACCTCTGGCAGCATTCAAGCTCACAGCTGTTGGATTCTCAGGGATTGTGCTTAACAATTCAGCCAAAATGCGCTGGTGCTGGTGATGCTCGTGCGGGTCGACGTGCGGGTCCACGTGGAGGTTACCTTCGCAGGTAATACTAGACTGTGAAAGCGAACCTCTGGGTGCGTCAGGCCAATCTCAAGTCCGAACCCAAAAGTGCGGCAGCACAACGCAGCATAAATGGCGCGAACACTATGATGTTAAGTCCCAATTAGTGTGGGGGGACTCAATTGTGCGAAGCTTCGGCGAAATTATTCAGTCCCCCCTGATTCGTTGTTGGGGGCCTTAATTGTGCGAAGTTGCGCGGCCAAATAAAACAATTATGAGAATAAGTAGATAGAATACATAAGCCTAATTTGCTCTTAACAGCATGGCAGGCAGTGAGTATTTAGTTTAAGGTCCTAATCCAGGCTGCATTTTGTTACTTAGACTACAATCCCTTGTCCAGAGCTTCCAGAACCTCAAGTTTCGGGAATTTCAAACCTCATAAACCCGGATTGTAAGGTTCCAAGCCAGGTCCAAAACTATCGATTTCTTATGAGGCCGCTTATTCGAGGAGGCCTAGCAATCATTTTTCCTAAGGGGTAGTCCAGCAGCTGCCCAGGGTCTCAATAATACGAATATTTTGGAGGGCCTCAATTATCCGTCAAATCGGGGGACCCTAAAAATAGCAGAAAGCAAAAACCTGTGTTTTTAAAGGCTCATCATTTAAAAGCCAAGCTTCCAGGACCTCAAGTTTCCGGAATTTCAAACCTCATAAACCCGGATTGTAATGTTCCAAGCCAGGTCCAAAACTATC